GGTTTGGGTCGAACCGGTTCGATTCGGTTCGATTCGACCCAAATCTTTGTCCAGACTTTGGTTTTCACCAATTGGTTTCGCTTTTTTCAATCGGTTTCTGTGAGCAAGTATTCAGCATTAAAAATAAATTTAAATATAATTTTAACAGGCTCGGTCGTATGCATTAATTTAATTGGATAGTATTTTGAAAATAAAAAATTCGGCGTTGTTTCAGTCTTCCCCTTTATAAAAAAAAATTAGTCCTCCGAATTTTGAAAGAAGTAAAGACAAGGAAACTAGGATGCAAATAGTTGTATTACCCGAATCAATGTATAGTTGTGCTTCTCGACATAATGCTGCAGACATGCTAAAAGAGTTATTTGCTTCACATTTGGAGGATACTTGTTGTTCTGAAGCAGCTAGAAGGGTGAGATGACGATGAAGGTAAATATTTGATTCAATTAGTACAGAGATGGTTGAAACTAATTTTATTTAGATTTCTAGATTAAAGACAACCGCATAAGACAGGCACGGGAAGAAAATCTATTTATAGAGAGGCGTGAGGCATGATTATGAGACTGGAACTCAATCCCCAACGTCTTTGATATTTTTCACGTTATCGAAACCTTTTCCGGCCAATTATATGTAAATTTTGAGTTGTACTATATCACACAATCTCTAAACTCTCAGTCAAATACTCTCATAAAACCCAAGGCACAGATTCGAATATAATATTCACCTTTACAACGTATATTTAAGTCCCTTTAACCTCTGCTCAAGTAAGCAATTTATTAATCTCATTAGTTATATTATCAGGTAACCCAATTGATGCATTGGCCGTCATTTAGGCTCTCATAGGGCTATTATTAGGCAATGAATCATTCACTCCAGAGACATAATACGGCAAACCAGTATTCAAAGCTGATACAAGAATCCACATATGTTCAGAATTTAGCTAATCTATCCAATTTAGAATCCTTATTTCAAAATTCAACAACCTACAAGCTGACTCATCCATTTTTCATCGGTTCCAAACAATTAATATCATTATTTCCAATAATCATGGAAGAAATTTAAAATTAGATAAGATGGTTGCCTGGCTAATTTCAGGGGGTTTTCGATTATTATCAAATTCTGCCATTAGTACTATTCTGATCATTTCATCTAGATATAAAGAGACAAATTGCTTACCACTAATACAAACTTATTTCAAACAAAATCATGACATTCAACTAGCTTAATCTGCTATCCAAACTGATTAGGAGAATCCTGACTTCTATCCAATCTCATCACATATTTAATCACCTTTAACCATTTTTCCCACACGCACACAGATTATAATGCGTTTCAACATCCTACCTAAGTGAGAATCACTCAATAAAAACAAATGAGTTAAAAACAAGTAGTACATCAACTATATAGAGAGAATTTAAATTCACAATCAAGTCTTTATTTTAGTTATTAACTTCTCTATTCCTCTTTCCAATTTGTCGTATCATACCATTTCTTAACTAATTATGACAAGAATTTATGCAACTAGCCAAGTTAATTGTTGTCATGCCAGATAATTCTTAATTCATTTTCGAAAATTTGCAAACGCCATTCAATTATACTCAATTCTATAAAGAAATCCAGCCTACATTTTTTTTTTTTTACAAGCTGAATCGTGATGAAAAATTCTCCAAACCAATTTACCTATTTCTTCTGTCTTTAATCAACCTTTTAGACCGAAATTTACTTATCTAGAAATACTAGAAATCAAGAATCCTAAACAAGTAGTGTCTTTTGCTCTAGCTAAGTAAATGATTAAGAATGTTAAACCCATAATTCAACTCCTGACTAGACTATGTCCTTGATTTTATGTTTATTCTTAATCCCATGAATGCTTATGAATATTCAGACAATAATATCATTGGGTTATTCCCTTTCTCCAAGTCTATCTTAATGTCTATCATCTATAAAATTTATACCTAATACGATCTAGGAATATCCTCAACCTCAATTATGTTCTCTCTATATTCTTTACTCCAAACAAAGAATTATGTTCTCTCTATATTCTTTATTCCAAACAAGGTTAATACCTCATTGAATTCCTCAACATCTGAGTTTTAATGTACCAGTCCTCCAATGGACCTAAAAAATGGACCTAACAAATTAAGTAGTCTCTTAAGCCACAAGATATGTCACATCTGCCATTTATAACACAATTACATTCATTCAATCATAATTGCCACCAATTACTAAGAACTTCAGAATAGCTTTACATTGACTCCAATCATATCTTAATGACTCTCATCCTACTTGATATCTCAATAATTCCATGAGCAATTTTATATATTGTTTGTTCTGATTGGGACCCATATATTACTTGCTCGGTATCTCCTATCCCTACCAAAACTCAATATCATATATTTATACTATATACAATAATTAATTCAATTACGACACAAATTTAATGCACCTTCACTTATATCTTATGTCAAGTACAAATTTCAGCAAATGAATAGATTAGTTTCTTCCATATCAAATTCAGCCAACATACTTATTAATTATAGATATGCTTAACATTAATAATTTAAATCAAAAATTTTTCTCAAATTTGCATATAAACAATACTTTGGATTAAGGCTAGCTACTATCACAATCACATCATATTGATTACCAAACTAAAATCATTTTATTTGCCATAAATTAGTCATTCCTCTTTATTCGTTATATTCGAATTATATTCAAACCATACTTTTTTTATATATATATATAATTAATGACTAATAGCGTTTCAATTCCAAAACCACAAATTTTTGTTATTGTATTCTAAAGAAATTAAATTTATTTACATTCGTTGTCATCTCAAGCTAAGTCCCGTGATCCTTTATCAACTATTATTCCAACTAGATGCTATCAAATTACAGAAGTCAAAGTTCTCTAATCTCTTTCTCTCCAGTAGAAAGTCTATCTTTCTTTCTGAATATAAGTACTAAATTCTTTTGTCATCGGGATTACAATCCTCGAATCATTTATCTATTTGTTTATCATAAGACATTCAATAGCTTCCTACATTTGATCCCTTTTTAGATTTAAATTTACTATTTATGAACCACTAAATTCTCGAAACTCACCTCGCAAAGACCCCCTCACCCTCGGGCAAGACCGATTAACCTAACTCAAAAGTTTTGGTCATAAATTTATCAATTAATTTTGTTTTAATATTCATTAGAAATTATCACCGACAGGTGAGACAGTGATAATTATTTTAAACCTCAAAGCCATTTTCCTACCTTCAATAATATACATGTTCCATCATTCTACCCTTAATAGTATTTCACTTTTTTTTTATCACATTAATAGTAGTTATTCCTAATTTGTCAAAATTCTAAATACCAATTATCATCATTTAAATCCTATTCATCTATACTCACATTTTTGTAGTTGATTCTTTTCGTAATATCCATACAATAATAGAACTAGATCCAGTCTTATTTATCTAATTCATTGGTGTAACATCAAGTCCATAGTTGGACGATTATCCTTTAATGTCCTATATCATTCATCAATGCACATAACTGTCATGGCCCACTATTTATATAACATAATAAACATAATCATCTTAATTTCTTTTTTAATGAGTCATTTACTTCTTCTCGGATCATAGAATCTCTCATTAAACAATAGTCCCTTATTTATAGACTTACATAAAGTCTAGAAATGCAACCATTATTTTAAATATCAAAAGACTAAATCTCGTTGAATTTAATTCATAATCATGTCTATTAAACCATAAGGTGCCACAATCCACACAATATCCGTTACTAGGTACATTTAAAGATTAAACATAAAGATTAAAGTAATTTATCTCTTACTAAGAATCACAATTTACCTTTCTTATAACCACAATAATTTATATTATTCCCTATATTCATACACTTGAAAGAAATAGCTGATGAATACCACAATACACTTTACTCCACTAAGCAGTAATTACTTCTCATAATTAAAAAGCACTTCATATAATAATTCCAACAACATTACTTTTTATGAAAAAATCTCATAATCATTTATTATTGCAAATCACACCAAATCATTTATTATTTAAACCTTATAAATATTATTTATGTAATTACACCAATTAATATATATGTTCCATCCAGAAGAATGTTTACCTCAATAGTCATAATAAATTCCACCAACCAACATCACATAAACTTCATCAAATAAATATGCTAAAATCAATACTCTAATTAAATAGATCCTAATGTCCTTGAATCTGAATCATCTAGTTTTCTTATTAATTAACACCAACAAGTTATTCTCAACATACTCTTTCCGCAGGCACACATATACTCTCATTCGTGTATTTTCCTGTATATATTCCACATTCAACACATATTAAATAACACTAGCGTACTTTTATCATTTACTTAAACCTATTAATCATATATCACTTATCTTCTTACATAATTAAATTACATATGTTATTCCATAAAAGAAAATTTAAATTTTTGAGCTAAGGACACAGTTTCCAGAAAGAGTACACTGGTTGATCAGGCCACTGCACTTCCTTCTAATTTCTCCTGTGTTTCAGAGCTAATTAATTATTTTTTTTAAAATATATCCTTATCTATAGAAATAATTATCTCTCCCCATTTATTTATTTCTTTATTACTATTATTTATTTTATTTATATATGATTCTGTAACCGTCTTAATGCACAGTGCGTCCACCTACACCAAGACCGTCTCCTATTTAGTGTCTCTCCTTTGTTGGTTACGGCCGATCCCAATGTAGGAGTTTTATTTTCATTTTCCTATGTTTCGCAATTGATTCCTAAGGCCCAACTTAATGCTCTGATACCAACTTTGTCATGATCCATTTCCGCGGGCGGGATCGACACTAGGACCTGGGTGGGCTTAAGGCCCCCGAAGCTCGTAGTTAGCCTCAATTATGTAGTAAGCCTAAATTATTTAAAACTCATATGCTATTCATAATTGTGGATTCAAGCCCAATAATTTATTTCACAAATATATCCAAATAATAAATGTTTATACTTTATTTATTCATTTACAACTCATTTGAAATACAATTGCGAAACTCTACTCCATAATTCACTATTCTTTGCATTTACATATTTAATACAATGATTATTACTCCTATCGATCCATATCTCGTTCAATCAATTAGTCTCCACGATTCTTCTTTCCATCTATTACCTGGGGAGGGTTGGAGGGGGGTGAGTATTAAACTCAGTGAGTAGAATTAGATAACCCTCTCACCCCTCTCACCCCACACAATCATAGCAAATGCTAAAATAATTTTATGTGGTCACCCGTTAAATTATGTGATCATGCAGTTTGACACACAAATGGCAATACAACAGCAATCACAGTTATCATCACCTTCATATAATAATCACATCACGTGGAAATTAGTCAGTGGAGTCATCGAACCCCGATGAGCCGTCCTCCCACATGGCTCATCCTCTCACGTGTGCACCAGGGAGCCAATCCCCCATTCTGGCCGACCGGTTCAATTCTCACACAACCAGTCCTCTCATTATTTTTCCAGTCTTTCCCTCTTTTTTTATTTTATTTTTATTTATTTTTTTTTTATCAACAGGGGTGGTCTCCATCCAATCTAGATCATCAAGCGCTCACAACAGGAGGCCACCTGCGGGCTGCGATCAAATCTAGACTGTCCGGTGCGCAACAACAAGAGGCCATCCTGTGGTTCTATATAATCCATCTCATCAGGTGCACACGGGGGCGCCGATCTCCCATTTTCCCGGCCAACGGTCAAATTCCATATCACATCATATTCAGGATCCATATCACATCATATTCAGGATCCATATCACATAGACCGTCCTCACAAACCCATGGTGGTCCACTTCATCCCAATTCCACACAAATATGGCACAGTATATTCATAGCACAAGTAATCAAACAATTTTAAATATCAACAAATAGTGCATCATAATACGGCAATCCAACAAAATAATGCATGATAACATTTAGCGGCAGGCGGTGATACTTAGTTATCTAACACTACTCACAGTTCTTTATTGTCCTCTAAAAGGAACGCCTTTTCTAGCCAATTGCTTCCAGCCTTTGTCTCTGCAATTTTTGAATTTTTATAATCCTCCTAAAATAAAACAAGAAAATTCTAAGTAAGAATTCTATTCAAAAAAAAATTATATTTCACATTCAGTTTATTGTTTTGGTTTCAGTTATATATATAATGGTTTTCTAATTTATATATTTATCTAATTTAATCAACTTTAAATAAAAGGTAGAGTTAATATTTTATAATTAATACTAATAGAATACTAATATTAATAATAATATATTAATTAATAAGAAATAATATGAATTGATAATATAATCTTCTTACTAACGATAATAATTTTATTCGTACTCATCTATTAAAGTCCCTAAAATAATCTTAATTTCACCGAAATTTTCGGCAGCATCTCCCTAACAATTGGAGCTATGCACCTGTTAAAATTATCAACAAATTTATCAAACCACACAGCCCATCCATCGGGCAATCAATAAATTCAAATTTTCACCCTCCTTCAATCTCAGCATCACACCCTGCACCAATCAAAATATAAATTTACAATAAACATTATATCTAACTACTTAATCCACACTTAAAAGTTCTATTAATATATCATATATCAGGTTCTTAATTAAATCATACTAATATTATAATCATTACCTCTCACCATTATAAATTAAATTAATAAATTAATTACTTCAAATAATTAAAAATTTAATTTAATTAACTAATATTAACTAAATTAAATTACTACCAAGTAATTACTAAACCATTAAATTATATTAATAAAATAAATTCATACCCAAACAAAATATTATTGTCCGAGTTTGCTTGATCGGTGACGAAACCAAATCGACTGGCCTTCAACCAATCTCAATGGAACGAAATGAAAGAGCATTCACTGGATCGACCAAAACTGGCTGCAGCACTCACCGAAGTCGCGCGCAGGAGGAGCAGCGTCAAGCGGCGGCGACTAGCGATGGCAGAGAGAGCGAGAGAGGAGGCGCGATGGAGGTGGAGCTCGTGGTGGTGCTGCCCTTGCTCGATCTGTAACACCCCATCTGACAGAGGAGCTGGCGGAGAGACTGCAGCGTCGAGCTGCAGCAAGGTGGCGCGCGAGGAGGTCCGATCGGGCTGGAGGTGGGCGCGACTCTGTTGCCCTGTCTCGCCAAGGACGCAAACGCAGTGAAGGGAAAAGAAAGAAAAGAAAGAAAAGAAGAAAAGAGAAGATGAAGAAGAAGAAGAAGAAGAAGAAGAAGAGAGGAGGAGGTGGCGTGGTGGCTGTGTCGGTGGAGTGAAGGTGCAGCGCTGGTGAGGGAGTGAGGGGGTGAGGTTTGCGTTGGAGAATAAAAAAAACAAGAGATTTTTCTAGATGGTTTGGGTCAAACCAGTTCGATTCGGCCCAAATCTTTGGTTTTCAATTGGTTTTCGGCTTTTTCAATCTTTTCAATGTGGTTTCTCTCACAGTATTCGCATTAATATTTTAATAAATTTAAGGCTGTCTTGTTCATGCTAATTTAATTGGAAAATATTTTGAAATAAATTCGGGTTGTTTCAAATTATGGTTAAAAGAATATTTTATTCGTGATAACTTTCTTATTATGCCGTCTTAAATAACATGTTAAGCATATAATAAATAAGAATTAATGAGAATTATTGAAAATAAGATAAAATTTAATAAAAGTATAATAGACAATTTAATGATTAACTATAATGCAAAAGAGAAAAATGGATTATATTTTAAGACAAATCAAAAGAGAAAAAATGGACTATCTTTTAAGAAGAAAGGAGTAAAAAAAATTTTGGTTCACATGTCTTTAACATAGGAATAAAATTACATGTTTTATGGAAAAAAATTAAATAATAATAGAATTAAATTCACGGATTAAATAGTAATTTTCTGGTCAAATTATTATTTTGCTTTCGTCCTACCAATATACGCATTTGCTTCGTTACAATGCTCTCAATTATTTATTATTTTGAAAGAAAAATTTATTCAAATTCTTTCAAAATAATAATGAAACTAGATTATTCAAATTAAAACCTACACGCTTTCGCCTCCAGCCTCTCCTTTTTTTCTCCTATGGTGGGCCCGCTTTATTATTTTTATCTTTTCTTACAATATTGGGATCCATGTCATTTTCCTTCTACCGAAAAGGCAACCTACGGTGGAGAGTGTACCTTACCACGGTTTCCATAAAAAACAGAAACTAATAACGACAAAAAGTACGACGGTAGTTGTAGTTAGGGCCGTTGATACATAGTTGTCAACCGTCTACTCGAATCATCGATTCAAATTAATTTTGTTTTTCAAAATTAATAGTTAATTTAGTTTGAAAATTCAAAAAACTTTCAATATAAGTTTGCGTGTGATTTAACGAGTAAAAAGATCAAATTGGAGGTTGTTCAAAAAATTATTTCTCAATTTAATGTCAAATTAAAACATTTATTTATCTAATGTTGGTTTTGATATAGAGAGAGTGTGTTGTACCGAAACCACCAATTGAGTTGGTAGTTTCAATGCAATGGAAAAAATAACTCATACTAATAAGTAGTGAAAAAAATTAATTACATAAATAAATAATAATTTTTATTTTATTGAGACCACCAATTCAACTGGTGATGTGAATACAAAATAAAATTTTTTTAAGTTACCAATTTGTGTTTTCATTAAAATACACAATTTATTTGATGGTTTTAGTGCAACTATGAGATGTGATCACTAGTCAGCAAAAAGTACGTGAGAATAGTATTTTGTTAAGAATCTATCAGGTTAATTAATGGTTTTAATAAAAAAATATTTGTTTACTCAATATTTTTTTTTTTTTTATCATGGTGGTTTTAGTACAACATATATATCATAGTTCAACATCACCAATACATAGAATTCCATCATTCCATCAAAGATTATTTAGTATATTTGGTGCAATGAAGAAAGAAATTCGTATTGAAACTCATCATATGATTCAAGCTACCTCTCCACCTATAGAGTTTCCTCGTATTCAAATACCAAAAGAACTACAAAGGCGAAGGAGACGTAAAATGACACCTAGACGTATTCCAATTGAACCCCTATCAATAGATGATATACCTCAAGTCCCTCCACCTATGACATATAACTATTATGAAGGTTATCGCGCTAATATGTCTGGTGCATCATCTTCTGAACCATAACCTCAGTGGAGTGTATCATCTATAGCAATAGAAATCCGATCGACACTCATTACACTTCGATGATGGCAAGCTAACAAATCTATACTTCTTTCTCCGAAATAGGCGAGACAACGCCATTTCAACATATAGTACTTGCTTTCAACACTTTTGTGGCGTCTTTTCGGCAAACGTGATGAATCTACATCTCATGTTAGACACTCATTTAATAATTTCTTTGAGATGATGATGACATTCGATCAATATACTCATCTGACATTTTCTAACCCACAACAACCGTTTGTGAATATGTTTCAAGCTCCTCGCATGAGTGTGGATATAAATATTGAGCATGGAGAATAATATTAAGGCATTAGAGAAGATGTAGTACGCTGAAGCCCACGTCGTAATAGGAGGCCTCCAAGATGTGGTATAGGAGGGCATCTGGGTTGACATTAATATGATTAATTTTTCATATATTAGTTATTAAGACATTTTTCACACAATACAAGTTCAACTTGAAGCACTTTATTACTTTTGGTAATTTGTAACTATGTAAGGAAATTTATTGTGTTATTATTTAACTTAAAATATTTATAAACCAAAACCACCTGATGATATGTGTGTTTTTGGTAGAAAAATACTTTAACTTAAAATATTTATAAACCAAAACCACCTGATGATATGTGTGTTTTTGGTAGAAAAATACTTTGAGCAAACATATATTTTTTTTTATTGAAACCATTAGTTAACTCAGTGAACTCTTAACAAAATATTATTATCATTATACTTTTTGCTGACTAATGGTCACACCCCATAATTATACTAAAACCACTGAATGCATGTGTGTTTTAGTGAAAAGACAAATTGACAACTTAAAAATTTTCATTTTGTATTGAAACCACCAGTTATATTAGTGATCTCAATATAAAATAAAAATTATTGTTTATTTATATAATTACTTTTTTAATTGTACTTAAACCACCAATCCAATTGGTGGATTGTAGTTTCAGTACCACACTCTCTTTCCATGGCAGGACAAATATTAAATTGATAAATAATTTTGATTTGACATTAGATTGAGAAATAGTTTTTTGAAAGCACTATTTTTGTCAAAACCCCTCAAATCGGACCAAATTAAATTGAAAACATAAATAAATAAATAAATAATATTCACAATTTTTTTCTTATCATAATATGTTCAAACAATTAATTATATTTAACTTTGAAATTTATAATCATAATTTACTTACTTCTTTGTAAAAAAAATTGGTTAAACAACAATTCTAATTCAATTGACTTGCAAGAAATTTTAGTTGATATTGGAAAATTTAAGAAATAGCACAAGTTAATTAAATATAATTCATTTATTTTAGTTGTAAGTTTATATTCAATGTAAAAATTAATTGAATTTTATTTTTTACTTGTGTTAGTAGAAATTAGAGGATGCATTCAAATGTTAATAGAAATTAGGAAAAATTATAATCATATCCCCTATATTTTGTGAAAAAAAACTCCACTCTTGTCTTTTTGAAAATAGAAGGCTATATCCTCGTATTTTTTAATCCGTTACACTATCCTCCCCTTCCATCCATTTTTTTGTGAATTTAGACAGTGAATGATTATGAAACGACATTAATGAAATGAACAGTATCATCTTTCTTCTTTCTCTCCTCCACACTTTTAATTTAGAAGATTTCAATAGTCAACTTATCTTCTCCAACAAATCCTTGAACGATTAATCAAGTGACCAACTTGCAATGAACCAAATAAGGACAAGCCCGTAATTAGAGAGAGAAAGAGGAAATAGTTACAGAAAGAAAATTGTAGTGCTTGGATTTTCACTTTTCAGGATAAATGAAGTGCCCGACTCACATCAATGGCAAATTTTAGTGATATTTTAGAATCCATTAAAAACAATTATCAAATCCTTGTAAATCTAAAGAAAAAAAATTTCACTAGAAGGTAAAAAAAAAAGCATCAAAAGGGTATAACTCTGTTTCACAAGTGAAAGATTAGCATATCTTATCAATTAAAAAAAAATTATTCTTTGACTATGGCGTGTTATGGAAGAGAAAGAGAGGAAGAAGATGAGGGCATTTTGGTGAAAAAATTTTGTTCTCTCTTTAGACCGTTAGATTTTATCTTGACCTGTAAAATCTCAAATCTCAAGTATTGCATGGAAGGGTAATCTAATGTAATGGGCTTAAAAATACAAAGCTATAATAGCATATTTTTGAAAATACAAGGGTAAAATGGTCTCTTTTTTTTTGGACAAAATATAAGATGTACGGTTATAATCCCTAAAAATTAAGGGATCAAGTTCCAGGAGTAAAGAGTATCCAATGAATGAGACAATAAAAAGTTAGAGATTTTTCATCCTATTATTATTGTTCATATATTTGAACAATAAAATATATACAATATATTGTGAACAATAAAAATATATATATAATACTATTATATATATATTATATATTATATTATATAATTCAATATATTCATATTATTTTTATTTTATATTTCTTTGGTTGTTTGTACGATTAAAGTTTGACGTTTGTAATCCGACATTATAGTTTTTATTCGAATAAGAGCATCTCCAATACTAACATGGATTGCTCTTATTTAATTGCCACATTACTAAAATGAAAAGATTTAATTCAAAAATGATCTCCAATATTAATGTCTATTTGGTATGCCAAGCTGAAGTGTAAAAAAAAAAAAAAGAAAGATATTTTTTAGCATACATTCTATTTCTAGAGGGTCTCTTAGATAATGGAGCATTTATTACTTTACAGTGGTTGCCTATATATTAAATTGTGGATCTAGAAAAGAAAAGAAGAAAGAGGATGCATGAGGATATGAACATAGTGCATTGGAGTGAGATTTTTAAAATTATAACTTTTAGAAATAGGCATTCAACCATATCAACATCACACTTTCTATTTTTCTCAAAAAAAAAAAAAAAAAATAAAACCATGAATTACAATAGTCAAAATTAATATCATCAAGTTTAATTCCAAAGTGGAACATTAGAACAAAGAAAAAAAAAAAAAAAAAATCAAATTAAACCATGAATATCAATAGTCAAAATAATATCATCAAGTTAATTCCAAAGTGGAACATAGAACAAGTGTCAGACATTTGGACATTATTATAGGCAATTTACAAAAAAATAATAAATAAATAAATATGTGGTGAAATGCTGCAGGAGTCATATTGCAAAATTGAAAATTTGACATCTTGCTTTGATGATGTGGAAGCTAAAGAATAATCAAGATAAAGAGTGTACAAAAATTGGTGCAGAGATTACTTGAAAACTACTCAACTATATGGTATCTTAACTAATAATCTTAAAGTCTTTTAATAAATATTCAATCTGTTTCAAAAAGAGAGTTCACTTACTAGTTTCACACGCATGCTTAAATAACATAAGAAATCAATTATTATATTGAATCAATAAGTAAGAATTAATGAGGGTTATTAAAAATAAGATAAAATATATTATAATAGACTATTTAAAGATTAACTATAATGTAAAAAAAGAAAGTGAATTATATTTTAAAACAAATCAAAAAGAAAATATGAGACTATCTTTTTAGAACCGAGGGAGAATAAATACTTAATGCGAAAAATAATGGCATTTACCATGCTAGCTAGATATGAAAACAAAACTGATGAGAATATTGTATGGGGGAAAAAACCAAATAAGGAAGGTGCATGGAGGATTATCCTAATTTTTTTTTTTTAAAAAAAATGTTGAATGATAATTAGAGAATTTTTCATATTTTTGTAAGCAATCGTTATTAGGGGAGTGAAGGTTCCATATATAAGGCCCGAAGGACAGTATCTTGTAAATATGGCAATTAGAATTTATTCTTACACAAGGGGAAGCTACCTACTCATAGAAGAAGAAAGTAAGCAATAGTGTCCTTAATTTAAGCAAAACTTATAAAATAGTAGTATTATTTAAGTAAAACTTAATTTAAGAAGGTAAGCCAAGAAAAAAGATATTCGCTGTTATATAGCTTATAATATTATTTTAATTCATTTAACCTCTTACAACTTCAATTATATTGAAATTTAAAACAACTAAAAGCTCTGCTCCTCAATCCCAATCTTAAAAGAAAAGAAAAAGTTAATTCTAATGAAAAGAAAATTTTCAATTACCATGAATAAGGAAAAGACAAATTCAATACGAAGCAATTCAATCAAGATTGGTACCAAGCACTCACAAGTTAGATCACAATAATCAATCTACCACCATTTGTAAATATTATTTTATTAAATGTTCGATCTTGCAAGATTAAATCGATTAAATATTTGTTGATAAATTGAAAAAAATATAACAATTACCGTTTCAAAAGTTATATTAATTACGTCTAATATCAATACTTTATATATTAAAAATAGAAATTCTAAAAGTTATTACTACTAAACATGTGTAAACTTTGTAAAATGAGGGATACAATAGGTCCTTGCAAAATTTAATATGTTATAAGATTAAAGTTGCAAAATTAAGGGGTTATTTTATATTTTTAGCATATTTTTATACAGTAAACAAATTATTTTGACCAAATACATATATTTAAACTCGTATGTTTCATGAAAAATACAGTGACGCTCCAAATTTTATAAGGAACCTATTATACCCATAAAGTTAAAGTTTTTATTAATATTACACATTTCTCTATATTATCAACCAAAATTTTTAGAGTTTTTAATTTTATATGCAAATTATTGATTAGATATATAGTTTATATGATTTTGAGTATAATTTTTACAATTTTCAACTATCTAATAAGTGATTAATCGATTAATTTTATAAATTAAACTGTTCAATGAGTCAAATTAAAGTGCTTAATAAATATAATTTCATAAATTTAAGTGTTGAATGGATCAAAATTAAAATTGAAAATGTCACATGTTTTAATGAAAAATATATGAATGAATTCATATATTTGACTGCAAAAGAATTCAACATGAGATTTTTCATTGACTTCGAAAACATTATTCTAGAAGTAATATGGATATTGCGAAAAGAATTCAACATGAGACTTTTCATTAGCCTCTAACATTATTCTAGAAGTAATACATAGATTAAGACTAAATTAGGGATGGAAATAAGGTGGGTACCGCTAATTTTAAACTATTTATATTCGTATTTATTTAAAATTTTACTATACGTATTCATTTCAAATTGATTTAAATATCCATCTAAATATCTGTATCAACTCATTTAAATTTTTACTACTCGTACTTGTCTAAAACCCGTTTAAAATACTCTTATACTGGTAGGGTACCTACGAATCTTAAACTATGCAAATATGAACTTATTAAAATAGAATTTTTATCAATAATAGATAGTAACCCATTGACAAAATGTTTCATATAGCGGGTAATTAATGGGTAGCGGATACGCAAAAACTTATACCTGCATCCTACTCGTATCCATTACGGATAGTAATTTCACTATCTGTATCCATCCCAAACCCATTTTATAATTACTCATATCCTCTTTAAACGGATCGGAGCTGGTGGATGCCCTAATATATCCACGGTGCTTCCATCCCTAGACTAAACATGTTCATATTTTCAATTTGACATACAATATGAGTGGTGAAAAATAGATGAACACGAAATAAACAGCATTTAGTTTTATTAAGTTGGAGAATATTTTCTTTTTTTTTTAAATGAAATAAAACAAACTCTTTCTAATGCAAATCTAAGAACAGAGCATCATTAATAAAAGGAAGAACAACAAGATTCCAACCTTGTGGATCAAATATGGAAACAATTAGCCTTCGTTAATAAGTAAGCAATAAATATTGGTTAAGTAACAGATTTTTTTTTGGAATAAATTAAGAGACATTTACATCTCAAGCTTAATATTAAAAGTAGAAGTTATTAGGTAATGGTTAATCAATATTTTGAGAATCGGTCAATCCATGTTGATCTATTATTAAACTGATAAAGGCAGAGATTCATTTAATTTGCCCATGTCGATCTATTATTAACTGATAAAGACAGAAATTAATTGAATTGATATATTTCACCGGATCCAATACAGCTCAATTGAGCCGAATTCCTGTTTAATTCTAGCTTATATGATAAGCAATAATATATATTTAATGGTTAACTTAATTCACAATTTTCCCTTACAGAAATTCGTTCGGTGTTGTTTTTTTCCATCATTGTTTGTCCTCCATTTGGATTATGCTTTATAATATTTTAATTTATTTTCATTTTAGAAAAATTAAAATAACATTAATTGTTTTATTTCGAATTTAGGTAACTTGTAACGGAGTAAAAGTTATTTCAATTAAGGGATAATTTAGTAAATTACTTTTTTTTCCCAGAGTCAAAAACTTTGATAGGAGTGAGTAGCATAATAGCATTCTACCATAATATCTCCAAAGAAAGAAAATATTTCACAGTTTCTCTGACGGATTTCGTTAGTTGAACCGAATAATAATTCCCTTGAAATTATTTCTTAGGCAAAATCCAAATTTCCAGAATTTGCTTAAAGCATTTAAGGCCAGAAACCCAATTGCCAAAGGGGAAAAAAAGGGCCACGCGAACGAAATCTGTCTTCCCAATATCAATTTCAAACACAAATAAAGAAATCAAATCTCAGATATGTTTTTTACATAAAAATAGACTCTTTCAATAACAAATAAGATAGGAAGAGTCCAAGGAGATCTAAACTACATAATTAATACACACAACATGTATATTTATATACTTTAATTGCTAGTTGGTTGATTATGGAGGAGATGGTGAGCCTGAGAGAGCTGGTCCAGGAGAGAAAGGATTCGAGCGTTGTACGCACGCGCCTGATGAACAGACTCAGCTTCTAGCTCACCTAACTGTGTGCAAAGCCGCTCCTCCGCTTCCTCCGCCACTTGGAGTCTCCGCCATGTCTTCTGCAGCTCTTCTCTCATCTGCTCTTCCCTCTGCTTGCTTTCCTTGAGGGCTCTTTCTAGCTCTTCGTTTCTTTTCTTTAGGATAAGCTGCTGCTTCTCGTCTACCTTGCCTATGGCCATTGCCTGCTTCTTTTCTTTTCTTTTCTTTCTTTATTTTTTTACAAAGCTTTGTTTGTTGATTTGTTAATTCTGGCAAATGGGGATGCTTCGATAGGTTGCCCCTTTGTCATTTTAAAGACTCAGTTTTGCGTGTCCAGGTTCAATGTATCTGCTTTCCTTTTGTCAAATGTGGTACAATTACTTTTTGATCCCTAAATTCGATTCTAATTACTATTTTATTTCTCATATCACAGTTGTCCCTACCCAATTATACTAAATCTAATTCGGATTGCACGTCAAGGCTCATAAAGGGAATGACAGCAAAAAATTTTTCCATGGAGCAATGATTTAACACTCGATTTTTTATCCAAGTGATGTTTTTTCACTCGGATCAATTATAATTGATTATTTTAATTATTATTTAATTTTTCTTTTTCATAAATACATCAAATCATTCTTATATTATATTACTAACTGGTTGAATTATTGTCTTATAATATTTTAATATTTTATTTTTCACATTTAATATAAAATTATTGAATCCTCAAATTTTTTATTTTTATTGTTATTTACAGTTAAAGTAGTAGAAAGAACTCATTGATTCAACATGTCTTTAATATATGAATAAATTGATATATTTTACATAAATAATAATTAGAATTGAATTTCAGGGATTAAACGGTAATTCTTTTATCAAATTATTATTCTGCTTTGGTCCTACCAAAATACGCATTTGCTTGCTCCGCCATTATGCTCTTAATTATTAATTATTTTGAAAGGAAAATTTGTTCAAATTATTTCAAGATAATAATAATAATAATAATAGTAATAATAATAATAATAATAATAGTAATAATAATAATAAATTATTCAAATTAAAACCTATAAGAGCTTTCGCCTACACCTCTCCTTTTTTCTTCCTATGGTGGGACCCGCTTTATTATTTTTATCGATTCGCATAATATTTAGAATATCCATGGCATCTTCCTTCCCCCCAAAAAACAAGGCAACATAACGAGGCTACGGTAGAGAGCATAACTATAAGTTATGACGGGGCCATAGAAAAAAAAAAAAAAAAAAAAGTTATGACTGGGGCCATAGAAAAAAAAAAAAAAAAGGATGGGGAACAAATGAACATCAGTTTATTCGGTTCGGCCTCCGTTACTGCTAGATTTTATCCAGCTCATTATATCACTTCCTCGGTGCTCTTTCGTTCGTTGCAGCAAAAGACGGAGGAAATACGATTGAAAGAACAGACATAACGTATTAATGTAAATTATTTAATACGAAAAAAGTACACCAAATTAAAAAGGTATGAAGATATATTAGCTTTAATTACTTTAATGAAATAAACAATAAAAAAGGTATGAAGATATTATTGTATGTAAAAAAAATAAAAATTATAAAATCAAGTGATATTGTATATACGTTGTAAAAAATTATATAAAATGTGAAAGCTTTAAAACATAGATTTCAATATTCATTTGAAAAAACACTGTTTAAAAAAAAAAAAAAAAAAAAAAGGATGACATCAGTTGTATTCGGTGGCTGTTACTGTAGATATCAGCTATTTCACTCGGCCTTTCGTTGTTGCAGCAAAAGAAGAATACGATAAAAATAACTGTTTAATTAATTATTTAATGAAAAAACAATAAAAAGGTATGAAGATATTATTTAATTATTTAATGAAAAAACAATAAAAAGGTATGAAGATATTATTGTAGTAAAAAATAAAATAAAAATAAGTTGATATGTATATACGTTGTAAAAAATTTATAAAATGTGAAACTTTAGAAAAGATAATATTTCATGAAACACTGTTTTAAATCTTAAATGGTAATATTATTTTAAAAACACTAATATTACTTTAAATATTTTTATCGAACATGGTCTAAATCGAAAAGAATCAATTTGAATAAACTAAAATTGTTATTTTTAAAATTAATGATTTGATTTAATTTAAAAACTTTAAAAACCTCTAATATAGGTTTGATAATAATTTGAGAGTAAAAAACATCAAACCGAACTAAATCAAACTAAATTGAAAATATAAAAAAATAAATATATAATATTTACAATTTTTTTCACATTCAAGTTATTAATATATTTATTGCATTTAAGTTTAAATTTTAAAATCATAATTTACTCACTATTATTATTTGCAATATATTTGAACGTAAAATATTTTTGTGTATATTTTTCATATTATTTTTTATTTAATTTTTATGTTTATAATTTTTTGGTTGTTTTTATGTTTGTCCATTATAGATTTAATTCGATTAAGGCTTTAAATAGGACCAAATCAAACTATGAATATCCCTTATTAGGAGGTATTTATCAAACTGTTAAAAACACTCAAATTGATTCAAAATCATAATTTAAAAAATTGACGGTTTGGTTTGATTTTATAAAATTTTAAAAATCAAAATTGAGTTAAATTTATGATTTTAAGGTCAAAACCGCCCAAATCATATCAAGCCGTTTAAAGATAAATAATTTAATTCAATTTTCTGTTAGTTGATTAGTTTATATTGGATAAAAATTATGAATTAGTTTATATTGGGTACTAATTAATAATAATTTCATAAATTAGATAATTATTTCATAAGTTAAAAGTCAAATATTAAAAAGTCATAGAAAATGAATTAGTATATATTAAATACAAATTATATCGAACCAAAACTAGAATTTTTTATATTTTTTAATAATAAATTTTAAAATAAATCAAAATTTAAATTCTATATTTATATATTATTTATTTAATTTCTTATTTTTTAAGAGAACATTATGAAAAAAAAGAAGGGAAGCAAAATGGTTAAAGATGTCACAACAAATTTTTTAAGCTAAGGTTCAAATCACAGAGTTGCAAATGAATCACATAATTCAAATAAAAATTTTTTTATTCCACTTAACCAAAACTTACAAAATAGTATTATTTAACTTTAAAAAAAAATCCGTGTCAAAAACATAAAAAAAAAAAAAAATCAAATTTACTTGGTCTGATAAATAAAATTTTTCAAAAATTAAATTTTATATTAGACAGTATTTGGGAAACCGGACTGGGTGATTCGCGAACAGATGGCTGGTCCACTTTGGTTTTATGTAAAAAATCAGATGGAATAAAAATCGGATTCAACAGGTAAGAACAAGTGAAAACCAAGTTTTTGACTTTTACAATTAAAAGAAAAAAAAAAAAATACACCAATTCTATCGATGCTTGAACTAATTCTTTGGCTTGAGCTAACTCAGACTGGGTAATTCTAATTCATATTTTAAAATTTTAATTAATATTTTCGTAATTATAATTTATACTAATATTTTACATGATAAATTAGATAAAATTGAAGGGTAAAATAAGTATAGTTAGCACATTGTAATTTTCTAATAATATATCGACACATAATTAATTATTTTCATACATTATTTTTATTATTTTTTTAATTTAAAAAATCATGAAATATGTCAAAATTTTAAGTCCTAAAAATTGGAAGTGGGCTTTGCCCTCGTTGAGTAAAAAATCTAAGCAGTCGTCGTGTAATATTGACTATTATGCTTTTTACAATTATTGTTTTAACATACTAAATTTTTCTTACAATCGTTGATATTTGATAATACCTAAACTCTATCCCTTGAAATTTCTTCATAGCTCTATATTTTTATTATTCACAAATTGTTAATAAATAATAAATAGCGAATAGAATATCATTGCATAAAGATTGGTTTCGAGCATTGAACTATTGTGATTTTAATTTTCTAGAGTAATAATTAATTTAAGTGAAAGTAAATTAAAGTAAACTTTATAAACCTAATTAACTAATCTTAAAATACACAAGGGATAAAAACTTGTTGAATTTAAATTTACCACCCCAATCTATCTATGTTAATAATTTAACTAATTTAATTCAGAAAATTCTTATTTTAAAGTTGAGAATTTTATAAGGTAACTTAAATTCTGTTTTCGAGATACAAAAGCATATTCTAATATTTATTTTAATCCTAATCTTATTATTGATTTAAATTATTTAGAACCCTTTAAGATCTAAATGTAATCCTCATGATAAACCTAGCTTATGTTTAATTATAGATTAACAAGGTTGAATTATTTGTTTTAGGCCTCAAAATCAATAAAATTAAGACAAAACAATAAAATCAAGATGAGATAGAAAATAAAGCTTGATATTTTAGGCCTCAAAATCTCCTTATATTCTACTAACTCCTTGCAAAATAAGGATTTTCTTAAGCAAAAGGCTCTTTTATAGAGAACAATTGGTGCCAAATCAAAAAGAAACTTGAAAAATCAGTTTGAGAAGCTTAGGTCCCGTTTGTTATAGCCGTTTGTTTTGAGTGTTTTATTTATTAGAAATGTGAAATACTTTTTAGTTTTTGATTATTTCTTTTTGAAAATTAATTTTTTTTTCTAAAATTTATTTTTCTTTTTTTTTTTGGTTCACAATGTGAAAAATTGTTCCAATTATCAAATCTCTCTTATTAAGTCATTAAAGATTTTAGTGAATAATAAATTTTTTAAAAATTCAAAGTTTCAAATGAAATAATTAAAAATATTTTGCAATTTAATTTTAAAATTTCAATGTTACAGTGACTATTGATTATTATGTTGAATAAAAACATAATACCCAAATATTATAATAAATAAATAATACTAAATGACATTAGATTTATATAGATAGAAAAATAATAATAAATATAAAAATAATACTTCAAAAACTAATACCGCAATATTAGATACTAATAATAATAACCTCATGACATTAGATTATAATAGAATAGAAAAATAATAAAAATATAACATAATACTAAATAGGAAGAAGATAAAAAAAAGCCCTGAAGAATCCTTGAATAGAAGATAAAAATTTTAATCGCTTGTTATATTTCGGATAAATAAATGACATTAGATTTATATAGATAGAAAAATAATAATAAATATAAAAATAATACTAAATAGAGAAGAGATAAAAAAAAAAGCTGAGAATTTGAATAGAGATAAAAATTTATGCTTGTATATTTCGGATAAATAAAATGACATTAAATTTATTTAGATAGAGAAAATAATAATAATAATAACCACTACAACAATAATTTTTTAAAGATAAA